TGCGCGGTACTGAAATATCAAATGATCCACGCTAGAGCCACGTCATACAATGCCTGTGGTTATAAGGTTTTACCTGTCAAGGTTCAGAATTTAACAGACCGTAGAGCTTACATTCGTCTGCGGGTTATCTGACAACGTGCCGAAGTCAACCGTTGCGGATAGAAACTCGAACACTGAGAAGACTGTCTGCAGGTCGTCGACGTACTTCTCTTCCGTTCGCACAACTTCTTCAATGGCCATGCCCAACAGTTCAGTTGAGGACATCTTACGCGGGTGCTTGGCTTTGGGGATGGATGGGGCCTGTTGTGGTGGAGGCTGTTGTGTTTGTAGGGTTTAGGGTCTAGGGTTTAGGGTTTAGGTATATAAGGTGTGTGGCTGATACGTATATGTGGTGCGATATGCACCCAAAGGGACAGGGGCCCTAATAGGGTTGATAGTCCTACCCTATTTTATTTAAGGGTTTAGGGGTTTGCAAGGACTGTGAGCCGCAATGCACTCAGTATCCAACCATCTTGAGTTGTAACCTTTTTCCCGTTTGGTGTATGTGCTGAACGGTGCCTGTCTAGACTGTTGTGTGCGTGACGAGGACACGAGTCCAAATTTTGAAACCCTATTCGTGAAAGTTTCACAAATTGGGGATGATGAGTTTTGGTTCTGGACATACTCAAAATTGCGGTGGATGCCAATTTTGCACTGGTACGTGCTCATAGGCCTTGAAAACGTAGGTAGAGGTGCAGTGTTTGGTGCTTGCACTCTCCGTGTCCCGAAATGCACATACACCTCTCACAGGTGTACAGTTTTGCGCATCTTTCACGGACTTAATATATATATTTAGAACAGGCAATCTCACTTGTACTGCATTATACGGGGCTACTTTGCAATCCCTACCTCTACTATGCTATCCGCAGATGTCCTTGCCTGCTCTTGGGCTTTCTTGCGGTTGAATCAGACCTCCGTACCTCAAAACACTCACACAACCCGCACAGGTACACATGAACATCTACCTCTAATGGATTGCATGCATACAGACGGACAATTTTACCAGACCCAGACAGTCTCATCGATACAGCAATATGTAGGACTGCTTGTTATTCCTACCTCTACTACGCTATCCGCAGATGTCCTTGCCTGCTCGTGGGATTACTTGTGGTTGTATCAGACCTCCGTATCCCGTAAACGCACACAAATCTCACAGATGCACAAAATCATCTACCTCTGATGGGTTGCGTATATATACACAGACTCTCGCAACTTACACAGACAATTTCGCCGGTAAAGCGATACATAGGACTCCGTTATTATTCCTACCTCTATTGCGCTACCCGCAGATTCCCTTGGCTGCTCTTGAGCTTTCTTATTTTTGTACAAGTCGTGCGTGTTCCGTCGTGCGCGACTGTTACTGCGTGTGACACTCTGTAGCATCTCCTTCAAACTCAGCCCCGCCTGTGATATAGATAGATGTGCACGAGCCACTTCAGGGTCTGAATGCCTACCATTCTTGAAAACTTGGATACTTCTACGTTGATACCTCACTATTCATTCATGCGATAGTGCACCTGGTTACACTCTTTTGGACAGCAATGTCCAGTACTTTGTGGACCGTCTGGTTGGATGCGGAGTCTGAGGTGATCTTTCTGTAACACCATCTGTAATAGAGTATCGTACAGCTATACCTACATCTCCAAAAAAGTACTATACAGTTATATACATCCTTAATAAAGTATCGTACAGTTATACCTACACCCCCAATAAAGTACAGATACGTGTACCTCTAATGGGTTGGATATACATATCAGTTGTTGCAAGTACAAACTCCCACACACCTCTTGGCCGGCCATGTCACTTGCAGTGTCAAGGGCATGGTTGAGGGCTGGGTCTGAGATGGTCTGTGCGTTTTTGCCCCGCGAGTTGACCCGATCTCTCGCCGAACTGTCGAAAGCGCTTCCGGTCGAATTCGGTCTTCCTTTCTGTGCCAATAACAGGGTCATGTCGAGACGGTTAGGACTTGCCTTGTATGGAAGTTCGGTATTTGTGCGGGCTCTGGGGTGTCTTGTAGTGCATATGTGTGTGCAAAGTATAATCGTGTACAACTGTATATGCCTTAGTACATAAAACTCCTAAGCTCTAAAACTCTAAACCCTAAACCTTTGACCCCTAAAACCAATAATCAAACCCGTAAAACCGATATAATAATAAACCCCTCTATAGACCTCGTTGACAACCAATGTATAACACATCAAATCTTCTGATTTCGGTTATTATGAGGAAACGTTGCAACTGTCGCATTAAGATCTCGGAGGCAAAAAGACAGCTACTTCCTTTGTGGTACATATGATGTTAGTAGAAGGATCATTTGTAGACAAGTTAAACTATATCCTGAAACTCTGAAACCTCAAGACTCTACAACCCTAAAAAAATTAAAAGCCTAAAACCTAAACCCACAACACCCTCAAACCCTAAATTTAAACCCCTAAGACTCTGATAACAGGTAAACATGTGCCCACGGATGCAATGAAGGAAGACATGAGTGGGTGTGTGCAAGAAAGTCATTGCCCATACGCCAAAGAGTCGCCATCCCCACATTCAACGTACCTTTAACTTGCGCATATTCTTGAAAAATCCATCGCCGGCCGGTTTCTATAGCCCAAACACAAACAGAGGATCAGTTCGGTACTTTTCGATGTGCAGAAAGCAATTATTAATAGGTGTATAGAGGCCATTAATTCTTGTGTGTTTAGTAGAAAGACATTACTACGGACAAGGAAGTAGCTATGTTTATGGAGAACATATATCCTTGTATATTTACCTCCGATGAGGTGGATGATTCAAGAAAGTCATTATACCGGCGTGTACTATATGATTGCGGATGTGTCTCTGACTTAAACTGGTCATATCTGTGTATGTTAATTATTGAGGTAAATACATCAGTTGAAGATATTCATGCATACAGACATGTACTATGTGTATGCGAATGTGTCTCTGACTTAAAGTGGTCATATCTGTGTATGTTAATTATTGAGGTTAACACATCAGTTGAAGACATTCATGCACACAGACATGTACAATGTACTATGTGTATGCGAATGTGTCTCGGACTGAAACGGACCGCATCTGTGTATATACTGCATTTAGGTTTAAAACGGCAATTGACTCAGATGAGAGGGTCTACGTATGAATTACGGTGCAAGTATTCTGAGAGACCGTACCTCTAAGCTTTCCGGAAGGTCCATAACTTCTATTCCAGTGGAGAGTTCAGATTTCGAGCCCTGACCAAGGTAGAATGGGCGATACTGAGTCCGTTATAAACATACAAAGGATGTTATAT